CACCACCCCTGTCTCTCGCCAGGGTTCAACTTCATCATCTTGGAGTGACCCTTGGGCTCGTCTCGCGCTGCACTCGAAACCAAGCCGAGCGAACCCTCGCTGGTGCCCTCATCAGCATCAGCACACTCCACTCTCTCTCCAACACCTCCACCGAGGATTCTACTCCTCTCCTTTTCATTTTCCGTCGCGCTCACACTTGTTATGTATTTATCAGGCCATTCACTCTGCCCCATGAAAGCAAAGATATACTCTGCTTCCATTGAAGGCTCGGTTAACTGTGGCAGCCCGATAGGGACCAACCCAGTTGTAGTTGGCGGGCTGCCTAGTTTAAATGACGTTCTTGAACGACGGCCTTGAGCTCTGGTGGGAGTTCCTCCTTCGTGCCTTTAGTGCGCACGAATTTGGCAAGGTCTTGGAAGTTGCGAAAAAGTTCGCATTGTCCAGCATCGTGGAGTTGTTTGCAGAACTTGCATCGCTTGTTACAGTAGTGGGCGGAGTGACTCATGCCACCGCACACCGCGCATGGTCCGTACTGTGGGCGTCGGTTGTCGCGGTTGAAGTCACGTCGACCGCGTTGGTCCTGATTGAACCCACGGTCACCACCTCGGCGATCTTGATTGAAGCCATTATCGCGATCAGGCATGTTTCCACGTGGTTGACGGTTGTCTGAACGTGCGTAGGTGCCTTCAGCAGCTGCACGACGCTCATTTTCGTTAGCAGCGGCGAGGTATCGGTCGTTTTCATCCAATGAGAAATCACCGTCCGTATTATCAGGCTGAAAGTCGTTGTACTCATCTTGGACATCGTCGTAAGCGTTCGGATCTTCGTTTGAATACTCGGTGCCTCCCTGAGCAGCTTCACGACCTTCTAATTCAGCTAGTAGGTCGTCCACCGTGGCTTCAATGAGTGTCACTCTTGGTTTGATGCGGTTGTCATCGCGGCGACGGTCATCACGCCGGTTGTTGCGGGCGTACCCATCGTCGCGTCGCGTATCACGACTCTTGGAGTATCGGTACTCACTGTCACGCTTGGCCATCCTCTCCTTGCCCTTGAGAACATTTTCGATGATCTCTTCGAGCTCGTGAATGTCGGCGACTCGAGCGTGGTAGAGACTCTCCGCTAGCTTGTCATCGTCGCATGTTGCCAGGAATTGCTGTACGTGTTCTTTCGCGTCGCGACCACTCTTCTCAAAGTGTAGACGGGCGGTTCGAGCGTAGCCATTCAGCCTGTTTATGTAGTCGCACAGATGTTCATTACGTTCCCGCTTGGCGGAGTAGTAACGCGACAGTGCCGTCTGCGTGAACTGCGAGCAGTAGTAGCGGATGAACGCGTCGCTCAGCAGCTTCCACTTGCGCTTCGTCTTCTTCGGAAGTTGACGGAACCAATGAATGGCTCCGTCCCGGAGACTTAGCTCAAATGGAATGCACCATTTATCGGCATCTGTGTGGGTTCCAGTCATTTCATAGACGAACCCACGGAGCCACTGCATACAGTTCTCGCTCTTGTTGCGAGAGCCTGAGAACGGCGTGATGCGATCCAACGGTCGGTGCGAAGCCATTCCAATCCTCGGTGACGGGTCTACGTCGCTCAGCGTCGCCAGCTCATTCATCTGACGCATCAACTCGAGTTGAGGATCTTCCTCGTCAAATGTACGCACCAAAATGTCATCGTCACTGGACGAACCCTCGCTGTCAACTTGACGACGTCCGGCACCACCTTTGGGAGCTCGCGCACCGCCTCGGCGACCGAACGAACCCTCGTTACTTGCGTAAATGCGTTGCATACGGCTCTCCGAACGTGGTGTAACCATGTGCGAGTCTTGAAAGTACGGTGAAGCTTCGGTAGTGCCAAAGGCACCACGCTCAGCTCCACGCTTGGTCGGAGGAGTACGAACGAGTCGTTGGGGCGTCGGCGGCAGTGGAATCTTAGACGGATCTTCATCTAGAATCATCGGTCGACTCACAGGCTGCTTTCCGGCATTGATGGCAACAGCGCCAAACGCCTTCCGAAGCTTCTTCTTCCATTTCTGGAGAGCAGCTCCGGCTTCATGTGGACTCCAATCCTGGAGCGACATCGTCGATGGGTACGTCTCTTTCTCGAACCCCAGCGACAACAGTAGCGAAACTGAATCCTCGGCAACTTGACTAGTCGAAACCGAGTTGACTGGGTATTGAAGTTCCTGCGCAAGCGCAGGCCAGTCGGCCTTTTTCTTGGGGATGGGCTTGAACAGCTGCATCCACTCATCATTCTGCATCAGCGCTTGTACGCGGTCGAAAACGCGCTTGGCGGCTGGTGTATCACCGTTGATAGGTGGGCGAGGTGCCTTCAGCAGTGCTGAATGCTTTGCACTCGCCACCGAAGGTTTAAAACCCTCGGTCCCATCGTCATAATCATCATAGGCCGGTTCCGGTCCCGCAACATCATCGAGCTCGTCGGCGAGGTTCCTCGAAAGGGACTTGGTCGCCCCGCTCAGCCCCGATGATAGCGTGGCCGTCTCCGGCGTCGCTGCGCCTGGCTCTGGAGCCGGCGTCTTATCTTCGTAATCTTCATAATCGTGGGCGTCAGGACTGATGTCCGCTTCGTCGTCGAAGCTCACTGAAAGCTCGGTGGCGGCTGCAAAGCGCGCAGCCGGGCTTGAACTCTCGTTGCGAGCCCCGCCAGACTTGGCAGGCGTAACTGGTACCGTCGGTTGTCCTTTCGCCATGTTTCTTTTCTTTTTCTTGTGCTTCTTCTCTTGGTAGCTCGTAAACTGGAAGGCCATACAAACAGTTCACAATGGTCACAATCTGTTCCCGGGTCGCGGCACCAGTTGTGGTGTTGAAAATCCCACGTGAACTCTAGCTACAGATGTAATTAGGATGTTCCCACAACAATACGTCTACTAGGATAGTAAACGATCGTTCGGGCGGACCTGAAGACCCCAGTTCTGCCCTTGCACCGGGACAAACTGGACCTTGTAAACTACTTATATAGGCCAGCCAGTAAAATAAGAACACGCTACTAGCACGAGCAAAGCTAGCAGGTGTTTTGAATCCTCGTGGTCCCAACAGCGGAAGGGTACCAGGCACGGGTAAGCCTTTTACAAGATCACCGAGTGTTCAACACTCGGCTGGAAGAAATAAAAGGGAGGCAATTCAAGCACTCCCAGTCGTGCAAATAGGCAACAATAAGCCGTCACGTAAAACCTCCCGATAATAATCGGCCAATACACAAAGTCTCTTGGCCTTGCCGGATGAACCCTCGCTACAGAGCTTCGAGTTCACCGACAGGCACAACACACTCAAACAAGCTTGACCTGACGCTTACCTTGAAGCCGGACGTCGCTCTGTGTGCTTGAGTGGAAATTCTGTTCTGTATTTAAGCTTACCCTTTCGGGTCTATTCCTAATAAGAAGTCCTAATCAAGTATACAAATATCAAGTGAACAATGATCCGTTATGGATCTTCTTGCATGCCAAGCGTCGTCTGCACTGTCGCATGAGCATCTTTAACGGTCCGCGCCTTGTCCCAGACGGTTAACGTGTCTTCCAAAGGTCGCTGAGTATTCCGCGAACTCATCCCAACCGCCACTGAGAGTTCGTACCGTAGATGGTCCGCTGAATGCGAATCCGGCCAGTCCATTATTAATAATAAGGACAGCCTGGATTCAGTGACATAGGGCCGTATCCGATATTTGTTGAAAACTCGGAGGTGACGCCGTCGAGTCCCTTGCACCTTGGCGTCTCCGTACATCACTCGACCGAGGGTTCGTCGCTTGAACAACTTGGGCGGTGTCACGTCTTTGTCGACGGGTGATAATCCGCAACCACGGAGAAATCACTACACCACATGTACGGGTCTTAGGCGGCAATGCAGCCCGCCTCACGCGAGCTGAAAAAAACAGTGTTGACTCCGTTCAGGTCGACAGGCCCTCCTGCAGTGAGTGAAGACGTGGACGACGGCGAAAGTTCGTTCGTCCAGCTGCTTCAAAAGAGACGCCGACTTGATGCGAAGGAGACCAAGTACGAGCTCTTGCATGCAATCCCTGCGACGTCCAACGTGGTGGAGCGCTTTTTTAGCGTTGCTCATACCACGTTTAGCCAAGAACGCCATGGACTGCAGCCCATTACTTTAGAAATGATTCTCTCCCTGCGCGAGAATGCTGGTTACTGGGACGCACAAACACTTGACACAGCAACTCGAGCGTAGATACCTCTTATTGATTCAATAAATCTTGGTTATTGCAGCAGTAACTCAATTATTTATTGGTCTTCTAGCTAAAGCATCATAACGTATTGCCAACATACAAGCTAGCTTCGCGATAATTTATCGTGAAGATGCTACTACGATAAATAACAATATCATTTTCGGACCCCCTGGAATGACCGCCATGTAGCTCAAAAACACGTTGTGAGAATTATTCAACTTTGATAGCAAACTCAAACAGTGGTACACCGTAGTTTGGGTAGCGCGCAAGAACTTGCCTCGATAATGTCGAGTCGATATGCAATTATTTGGTGTTTGGCTCTGAGCACGGGCGGCTTCCTGCGCAACGCCCTAAATTTTGATTTGCTGCATTCAGAGCTCTGCTGAGTTCCCGCTCTAACATGCAAGTTTCCAACAAATCGCCGAGCTACAGTCAGCCTCACACTGTGAGTCACAGTTGAAAGCTTTCGGAGCTTTCGAGACCCGTCTGCTTCAACATGTGCGTGCGTTCCATCATTCAATGATCATTGTACCTCCTTACAAAAGAAAAACAAGTGTCAGCTTCATCTGCGGCGTTCGTTTTTCAATTCAACCCGCCGGGTTACCCGGTGATGCATTTGCTTGCGTGCGCTACGGTAGAATCCAAATAGCCAGCACGTAAATGAAATAGACTAATCGATTGTTATTATAGTTCTTGTGCGACTTACATGTATTATCACCTGATTTCTTTCTCACGACTATGCAACTACAGAATTGCGGCCGATCTGGCTTCGGCTATTGATCCGACTGTGGCGGGAGACTGCACTTTGCATAAAGCTAGCTCTGGATGTCCGTGCCATCTCTTGAGCCTTGAGCAGGCATGCCTCCCGGTACGCCTTTGAGCTAGCCAGCTCCTCTCGAGCCACTTCCAATGCATCGCAGTTAGCCGCATCTGAGAGGCATGTGGAGCAGAAGCTTCGCTTCTTCCCGAGAACAGTGCGCTGGTCAGGAGCCAAGATACACACGAGCTGTTTGGAGCAGCATCGCGAACAAACTTTGCGTAGGCAACTCTTGCAGCTCTTATGGTTTGTACCTAGAAAGCCAAAACTTCTTGAGCACACGGCACACCGACCTCGAATTCGAGCTGGTGGTTGCTGGGTAAGCGATGGCCGGTCGTCGGTAGGGTGGAGAGACAGCGACGCCGTGCATCCTGAGCTCTTGCGCATACGCCAAACCAGCTTCTTCATCAGTGCACAGTCGCGCTTCCGTGCAAAACATGACCACTGCGCTGCAATGGCTTGAAGTGACATGGTGTTGATCATCTCGTTCTGTGTGTGGAAGTCAAAGAAGCCGCGCACGTAGCACTCAACGGTTGTCGGGGTTTTCTGGAGATAAAGTGAACACACTGACATGTTGCCTCGCTCGATTCCGTGTGCCTCCTCCATGCCAGGGATCTGTGCGAAAGCCACCGAGTGGGAAATATTGTAACCGATCCGCTCGCGCTTGACCGTGTGCGCGATGCCCGTAGTGTCCAGCGACACGTAGTCACGCTGGTTATTGAAGAGTCGCCACTTGACGCTCACGTGGTGGAATGGATCGTCCACGGTGGGCTGAACCAGTTCATGTAGCACCTTGCTGTCGATGATACCGTCCTGAATGCAGGTGGACTTGATGCGGATGGCCTCGTCTGTGGTGGCCACGGCGCCATACATGACGTCGTCAAGCTTACCCTCAATGGTACCAAGAAGAAGTAGCGACGGCGTGGACGGCAGACCATTGTAACGGCTGCGTTCGCGGTAAACTCGGACACCATCCTTTCGGCGCACTTCCTTCCAGCGGCGGTTATCGGCAAAGCCATCCTTGGTCTTGAGCAGTGTGTTGTACTGCTGGATATTGTGCACCGTAAGCGTTTCGGCCAGCTCGCGCAACAGTTCGCTATCCTGCTCCGACATGTCAAGCTTCGGCGGAGCCAGCTCCGTGATCGTCTTCATCTTTGTCTGGTTTCTGCTGGACTTCTCCAGAATCGTTCTCACGTCGTGCACAGGCGTTTCGTTTCGCTGTGTCTTGTCAATGCAGTTGTGAGCTACGGGCGTGGCTGTATAAAAAGTCTCCAGTGGAGTCCCCCCCGGAAGGGAAGAAAGAAAATCTCTTGCCAAATGGAGGGGGGGTTTTAGGGAATCCAATCCGGGACTAGATTTTTTTTTCCCCCCGGGGGACACCCTTTAAAAATTTGAACTTGCCAAAAAAGCGCCAAACTAGCCACCCCGGTTTTTTTTTTTTCCCCTCTTTTTTTTTAACAAACAGAAACAAAATGACTTTGTTCCAACCTTTGACATTAATTTTTCGAATAAGATGATACAAGCCGTGCACTGAAATGAAGTTGCTTTGATCACGGGCAATACCCCGCGGTGGGTAATTTGGAGCTTATGGATCGGCGACGGTGGCCCTCTGCCAGCAATGCAGACCAGAGGTCCTTTCACAACAAGTACACTGTAGGATACCAGGATTTTGCACGACAAATAGTCGTGAGTCATGAGATTGTTGGTCAATTTGGTGTCGCTGTCGGGTAGCCAAACTTCTAGAGGAAACCTTTCCTTGGTGATTGCAACGGTTGCGGTAAACTGCCTCACCGAAACGCAAAGTACTGACACTATCCTTCGACGCACCCTGCTCTGGATGGGGTCACTGTTTTCGCCGACGACCATCCCGGTTCAATCAGCTTCAACGCGGCACGCTAGCGACAGCCGTTGAGTGATCTCGTGGGCCACGGTGGGCCGGGGCGATTCAAGACGGCAATGAATCCCTCCGAATTCGGTGAAGTGGAGCGTAAGGACCTCTGACTCAAAGGTCCAAATGACTCAAAGTCTGAGTCATTTTGATGTCGGACTGACATTGTCGCTTGTTGAACAAGCTGTGTCACACCTGACAAGTATCCTTGAGCTCCGTACATTAAACAATATGCTCGGTGGGCGTTGCTTGGCATTGCCAAGCTGGGCTGCTTTACAATTATTGCCAAACTTAAAAAAAAACTACTAAAGCCTTCTCGATGCTGTCGACCACTGTAAACAACCATTGCTGTTTTTAAATTTATTTATATATTTTATAGAAAAGTTACAGCATTAAAATACGGTAAGGTCGGAACTAAAACGTTAGATTGGAGACGGTCATTTACTGTACAGCGATCGTCTCCGTTCTGTGGCGTTCTTTTTCGACGTCGACGGTCTTCAAAGTGGTCATTGACGGGATTGAAGCTGTTTGGTTCAGATCCGCATAAACCCGCACTGTCTGACTAGTGCTACTTTTGTGAAGGACGGTCACCAAAACGCAACCGCACCATGCCATTTGACCAGCGTCCAATGCGTTGGATTCTATGAAACATGACTGTGATTGATGCCACAGTCTATGGCACGCGACTTTGCAATGGGCAAAGTCGCCAATGGCGACTACAGTACATGTACAGTCGTGCACCTCGTATTCGGCGGGGTGGACCATATAGAGTCTACGAGCTGCGAATATTTATAGAGGAGCAGATGAAATCCAAATGTACTACTTTGTATTACCTTAATTAAGTACAAATCTCAAATCCATCTTCGACACAATACCAGCGTGATTCCAACAGTTTCGAATGGTCATTGTCGATACGTCTTGCCAACCTTCTGAGCACCACTTCATCGCTGTATAAATATTGAAGGGGGTATACGTCTCGCCTTTGTAAAACAGAGACAGTGTCCATGATGGCTCTGTGGCTGCCTTCCTGCACAATGTTTGCTTATTGGCGAGATTCAACGTAGAATAGGCGGACGGGCGACGTGCCATGGCCTTTTGCGACAAAATTTATAATGAGCTGTTGTATGGTGAAGTGATTGAGCTGATACATCGTGGCGGAAGTGCGGCGCTTCATCCCTCCTTGAGGTTATTTGGTCCAAAGGAGATGGGCAACTCATTTGCGCAATGCATGTGGCCCAATCATTAGATTGTGCAGGTTATTAAGCCATACCGGGGCCGAAAACGAGGTGCACGACCAAGGCGCGCGATGCTACCTCCAGCGACCTAATGTTTTGGAAATGTTCATGGGCAACTTGCACAAGAACATTTCCATCCGTTGGAGATTCTAGAAATAATAATTGTTTTTGAAGCGGTAAAGGAGCACCGTATGACTACACTACACTGAGATGTAATAACAGCAAACAAATTACGAGATAGACTGTCAACGGGGCGATGCAATACGTCATTCGCCCGTCGAGATGCTGCCATCGTATTCCCCCAAGGGACGCAAGCACTCGCAGCAACTGCCGCTCTGGAAGCGTGTGGCACTCATCGGTCTAATTTGCATCCTATTGCTGTTCCTCTGGGTACAGTATACCATCCTGACTACGAACTTGGGTGGCGTCCCGGCGCACGTGGGCGAACTGCAGGGCGCCACGAATCAGGTGGCTCAACGCCCGGAGGACAACCACAATGAGCAGGCGCATCTCAGAGGCGACGAACATCAGCAGCAGCCGTCTGAAATAAACGCTGTGAATCACGCGACAGGAGGTGGTGGGGCAGGTGCAGGCCACGACGTAGTCGATGAGATGCTGGCGGATGAGGTTGTTGCAGACGTGGAAGACCCCGATAAGACGGTGACTGCGGTGCCCTCGGAACAGCAAGAATCTCGTCGTCTGGCTGTGCGTAAGGCTATGAAGTTTGCGTGGGGAAACTACGAGGAACACGCGTTTGGGGGGGATGAAGTGGACCCGAAGAACGGCTGGAAACGTAGCAACGTGTGGGGTGACATCGCGTGCTCCATGGTGGACGGCATTGACACGCTCTGGATCATGGACTTGAAGGACGAATTCCAACGCGCTAGAGACTATGTGGCGAACCAGCTCGATTTCTCCCACTTAGGCCGCGATGGCAACAAACTTTCGGTGTTTGAAACTATCATCCGCGAAGTTGGCGGTCTCTTAAGCGCATTTGACCTCTCTGGCGATACCATTTTCAAAGAGAAAGCCAGGGAGCTTATGGACATTCTCACGCCGGCTTTCGACAAGGAGGAAGGCGTGTTCTACACGCTTTTTAATCCGTACACGAAGGAGAAGAGCTTTGCTGGGTGGGCTGGCTTTCGGTAAGTGCGGCCTTCTGTTGTCAATTCACAATCTCTTTTATCACCTTGGATAATGCTTATTTGATGCTTCAGAGCCCATATCGCTGATATCGGTACACTGCAGCTCGAGACGCGCTATCTTTCGGACATTACTGGAGACCCTAAATACGCCGAGATGGTAGTCTAAGGCCCGCAATGGTCTCTTTTGTGTTGGGGGCTAACTATTTACTTCTTGCTACCCAGGGTGACGCGTTTTACCAGATCCTGAAACGCGAAGGATCCTACAAGAAAACAGGCTTGTTCCCAGTGCATTATGACCCACGTTACGGGACATTCGACGTCCAAAGAAGTGTTATCACTCTTGGTGCGCTTGGTGACTCGTTCTATGAGTATTTATTGAAAGTGTACATCTATAGCGGTAAACGCGAAGAGGACGAGTATCTTCGAGAGCTCTACGATGACGCCGTGAGGGGCATGGAGGAACACTTACTGTACTTCTCAATCCCCGACGATCTCTACTTCTTACAGGAGATGAAAGTCCCTTCTTTCTCGGTGCGTAGCTTTGATACAATGGTTGTGTAGATACAAGTCCTCTGATGTATTGTATTTGTTTGGGCTATGTGTGCAGGCTGTTCAACGTATGGACCATCTTCTATGCTTTGTTCCAGGGCTGCTGGCATTGGGCACGCTGTCCGAGACAGAAGACCACGCCAAAAACGCCAAACATCTCGAGCTCGCTGAGAAACTAATGGAGACCTGCTACCAGCTCTATCACCGTCAGCCAACAGGGTTGTCTCCGGACATTGTGAGCTTCCCGAAGATGCAGGTGATTGACCCCAAGTATCGCCTGCGACCAGAGACCATTGAGAGTCTCTTTTATATGTATCGTGTCACCAAGAATCCCAAATACCGTGAATACGGCTGGGAAATCTTCCAAGCGCTGGAGACGCACGCCAAGGTGAAACATGGCTACGCTGCCATCTTGGATGTGACGCAGCTGCCTGCCCATATCTGTATACAAGATGGAGAGTTTCTTCTTAGCCGAGACGCTCAAGTATCACTACTTGCTGCAAGCACCCGAGACTCTCATTCCGCTTGACAAGTACGTTTTCAATACTGAAGCACACCCTCTCCGCATTCGCAGGAGGAACTAGTTTTGGTCTCCTACAACCAATTGATACATCATTGTACATATCATACTTAATGTACCGGTATCACCACAAAATGAAGTCGTGTTTTGCTAGGCTTCTATCCAGATAGCTGTAGTTTGTATGGTGATCGAATCTGAAGGACGAGTAAACTGTACGTATACGAGCCAAGAAATAGTCTACGGTGTTGTACTCGCCGACTTTCATGCCCTAGTTAGTGCTGGTGACGAACAATCTGGAGCCGTATACACAGCTAATGTAGCCCCGGAGTCCGGACAGCAGGTGGCAGCGCATTTTGGTGTAGCTGAATTCGTTTCTATATGCGTATCAACATTAGGAGGTATCAAACATGTGAACACGAATAGTAAACGAAAAAAATGGGAAGGCTACCGATGAAGGAAGGCGGCGGGCGCAAGGAGCGCAAGAATGTGCGATCGTCCACTACGTTCGAGACGCGTCTGGCAGCGATAAAGTTCTACGAGGAGAGCAAAGATATGTCGTCCACAGTGGAGCGCTTCTTCCCGACCTTGTCGGTCGAGGCTAAGCGCAGCAAGAAGCGTGTCGTCTACGCCTGGATCAAAGACCGCGAAAAAATTGAGAAAGCCTGTGAGTCTGTGAGCACCGCCAAGTCGCATCGCCTGCGCAAAGCAGGTGCTGGGCTTTCGCTTAGTGATGACGCTGAGAAGTGCATTTTGGTGTGGCTTCGCTCGATGCAGAAGCTCGGCGTTCCCGTGACGGGAACGATACTGTCTGAACACGCGTTAGAAGTGGCCAAGGAGCTGGGCATCGACAGCGCTCTCTTTACAGCGTCGGTGACGTGGAGGAAGAGCTTTCTCCAGAGACACAAGTTGGCCATGTAGAAAGTGACGGTGGCGTCGCCGTTTGAGTGGAACAACATTGCAGAAATCTGTCCATCTATATTATGAATAACGTGGTGGCACTTGTTGTAAATGTTCTCTCACTGTGGTGAATTTTATGCCATAATAAGTGAGTCTGGTCATGTCTTAATTTCATTGTACATGTACCTACGTCTTTGACTTCGAATGGTACGCGCATGGCGGTCTGCGGTCTGCCTTCCACTGTACAGCTCCCTGGTCTTGGGGTTCGCGACGCACACAAGCTTCTTCACGCAGCATCGAGAGCGGATCTCGTTTAGGTAGACATTGCACGCTCTGGTGTTGCCGAGGACCCAAAAGACTTGTTGCAGTTTCTGCACGCTGTGCGCGTGGTCGCGTAGCATCCCACCGTGTTCGGCATCAGCTGGTGGTACAAAATGCATACCGAGCGGTTGCCTCGGTCGATACTGTGACGATCAAAGTGCGGTAGTTAGCAAAGAAGATGGAGTGTGATAAACTGTAGCTCACCCGTTCGCCAGTCGAGGAACGAGCGAAGCCCGTGGATTCTAAGCATACGTAGTCACGTGTGCTGAGGAGCTGCCCACCTGCTGGAATGGGTCACGCTCCGCCGGTCGCACAAGCCAGCGCAATACTTTGCTCTGCTGAGGACCATCTTACAACACCCTCTCCTTTACTCTCGCATCGGTATCGGTGCCAGCGACAGCGCCATGCATAATGTCATCCAAGTCGCCCACGACAGTGCCAAAGCATCGATGGACGGGATGATGGGTCTGGAAGTAGCGCGTTCCTCGTAAATGCTCGATCTCACGTATTTCGTCTAAAAGGGCTAACCGTTTCTTAGAAATTGAGACTTACGAAGGGACGCGAGAAGTTTATTGCCTACGCTACTGACGCTTGCTTCGACTCTCGATCCTGCAGACTCTGTCTTAGCGGATCTTTTGTCGACCGATCGACCGGTGGAATCATCGCAAAATTCATTTCCTTCATCACCAGCACGTAAAAGAAGGTGTTTATCGCCATCACCGCCGCCAGTGCAAAGTATAAATACTCCATGTGACCGTCGTTCAAGTCAGTGGGTATGTACTTGCCGAACAACAGCACGAACACGGACAAAAGTGTGCTACCCATCGAGTTCATAAAGAAACCCAAGGCGATTGACATGCCACACAAGCTCAGCGGGACCTCCGTATAACCGATGTTATACGTGGAGATCTGAATGAATACCGTCGCCAACGACACAAGACAGTACTGAGGAATCGCAGCATACCATGGAATGTCGCTCATGGGCTGGCCGCCGTCGTCATTCAAAATGTACTGCATCTCTCCATTGGAGTCCTCGTACGTCAACAAAGAGGAGTTTCGTCGGATGATTTCAAAGAACCCCGTCCAAAGCATCGCGATGATCGCCACAATATATCCAGCCAAAACCTTGCCATATCTGCTGGGTGGTTCGCCAAAATACTTCTCGTACGACGGGTAAACAATCTTGTCAAGCAGTGGCACGAAGAGGAAACCGGAGCTGGATTGAAGATCTGGACCGTGGGGCCAGGAATTTGGCTGGCGCCGGGTCCGCTACCTAGTCTCACATCGGTCTCCTGGATGATTGTCTGATTGTTGCCGCGTTGGTTCTGGCAGACCCACCAGAACATGTTAAAGGCGTTGAAAGGGAGGATTCGGATGACCTGCTTGATTCCACGAATCGTTTCAGGGTCGAGTTCGACGCCGAGAGCATCGGTGGCACCATCGATGAAGGAGGGGTCTCGAGCGTAATAGATGTAGAGGATGGTAGCGGCAATTGTCAAGACACCGCACGCGTATGAAATGTTGTGGCCAACTTCCCCATGATCCCCTAAGAATGCGGCAGGGAAATTGAGCAGAAAAGCGGAGAGATACATTATGGTACCCAACACAATCATCCTTGCCTGGTAGTTATGTCTGGCGCGACGGACAACGACACGAATCACAGCACCGAGAGCACTCCTAGTTGGTGGTACGTCTACGTAGCGCTTTCGTGTGGACAGCATCACTCCGACGAAAGTCAGCAGCATGAGTAGACCAACCAGATAGACTGCCATGAAACCGTATTCGGCTGGGATTGCTCCAAAGCCATGGATAGCGAGCGAAGGGAACACAAGCGTAGCTGAAAGAAATGCCAAGGCGAGAGGCCCAAAAGTTGAGGCTGAAGAAACTCGCACGCTCTTCTGGGGGAGACGTGATGGAGAATTGATCACCGCCAAATGAGACCGTCAGCGCTCGAAGACACACCTGGTTGAGCGCAACACCACCGAAGAGACCAACACAGAATAGAGTCTGACTCAAAGACTGTGTGGCGCGAATTGACGGTAAGGCTGCAAGGGTGATGAGCACAAAACCCACGGAACTGGAGGATGCAGCGCCCAGGAGCGTTTTGAACTTGCCAAGGAATTCGTCAGAGATGTAGCCTGCAGGGATGCACGCAAATTGGCTGAGCGAGTCGTACGTGAGCTTCATGGAGTTGGAACCCTTGTTGGACCAGCCGAGCCGTTGGAAAAAGTTTTTAAGCGATTGGTTGACAGCGTAGCTGGCCACTTCTTCGCATATCGTTAGGAGGAAAACGAAGACGCAGACTTTCTTGATGATGTTCCGCGAGTATTTGGACGGTCGAGCATCCCAAAGCTTAGTGCTGTAGCCCGCGGATGGCTTCGGTGACAATGTTTGGGTGCTGTAGTCGTTGGAACTGGTTAGCGGCACCGAGTAAAATAGTACTTACACGAAACATTACAGTAGTACCTTCGTAAATTTGACGATAAAATACTGTCCATGGTAAATTTCAACTCAGTTCTGAAAAACAAGATTTCTGAAAAAGACACCCCCTCTCCCCCCTTTCTCCCAACCCCAAAATCTATGAGCCTTTCATTCCAAAAAATTCCCGCGCACTACATCAGCCACCCGCCCCTCCTAAACTCTAATACGAGACGAAGACACACGACAGCTCTGAAGGTTAGCATGCATGTTCATGTAGATTAGAGGGGGGGGAGGTAAGCTAAGAGCGTATTCTGTGGTTCTCATGTGTGCAATCAGAATGAGCGACAGTGAACCCGAGCGGCAAGTCCCTCCTGGGGTCTTGTGGCTCTGTCCCCCAGTTGATGTCGAGTGGCTTGAGAGCTGGGATGCCTTCCGCAAATACATGGAGCGCTACCAAGAGGAGACACACCAGATCTTTCCACAGCGCACGTCCACGTCGGTTCAAAAGAGAAATCGAGAAATTAAGGCGCGAGCAAACCTGAGTGTTAATGCGAAGGACCCAGATGATTCCGGCACGACTAACACAGTTACTGATGAGACGTCGGATCGATTGATCCCTGAGGAGTTCGGAAATTTCTGGAATAAGTTGGTCTGCACTCACGGGTGGAAGCGCAAGAGCCGTGGAAAGGGGATACGAAGGTCGTTTTTTTGAGAAGACTACAGGCTGGAAGGCAAACATTAAGGCTGCTGTCGTGTGGAACGATGAACACGACACGTTCATGGTACGCGTCACTGACTTTGACGTCAGACACAACCACAATGTGTCTCGCGCTACATTTGAGAACCATGTGTCGAACCGTCGCGTGGAGGATCCGGACATACTGGCATTCGTGGATGAACTCCAAGCTGCTGGTTCTAAGCCGAAGCTAATTATGCAGTTCCTGCGAAAGAAGACAGGTGGGTGCGCTTAACTCAACCCAGAATTATATATAGTGACTGATAACTTTTTTGTTTTGGACTCCATGTAGGAAAAAATGTGGTGCTTCGAGATGTACACAACATGGTGGCGAGGATGAAGGAGAGACGAAGGGGAGGTGCGACTACTGAAGAACGGCTGGAGACTGTCTTGCGAGGGATTTGCGAATGTCGTGGAAACCGAGCAACCGTTTACGTCGACGAATCCAAAACTGCACAGACCATCGCGTTGCAGACGAGACAAATGCGACGCTGGTTCAAGGCTTTTCCTGAAGTGATGCTCATTGACGCGACGCATAACACCAACGAATCGCGCTACAAGCTCTTCTCGTTCATGGTTAACGATGTGTACGGACATGTAAGTAAATGTACCTGACGTTACATCCTATGTGCCTCTAGTTACACTTTTACTTCTCCGACCCGTTTCAAAATGATGATTGGGGTTTTTTATTGATCGCACATAAACTGAATAATCTACTTCAATTGGATAAAAAAGACTTTGGGTTTGCATGGCTGCGGGCCCACTAAAATTATGGTTGGCCTAGACTAAAGTCAACTCCGCGTTTTGGGGTTTTAGCGCGATGCCCAGAACACCTGGAAAACAAGACATTACGCCTGAAAACTCGTCTCAATGTGGTTGTGTTCTTTGGTGAAACGGAGCGCTAACAGTAAATTGCTCTGTGGCAGCAGTTTGTGCAGCTATGGAGGGCGTTTGGATAGTGTGTCGCGACGGCATTCCAAGAGGATCTGGAAGGTCGCGCTCAAGAGGTCGGAATTATAT